GTGGCGGACGTCGGCGTTTCCCCGTCGGGTTTTGATGCGGGTCTAGGCGATTTGCTTTCCGGCCTGAGGGACTTGGTGTGGCGACTTGAGCGGGGCGGTAGTGGGGGCTCTGTGCCTGTTTCTGCGTGGCTCCTGTCTGATGGTGGGGATGGGTTCAGGGTCCCAGGGCGGGACATTATGAACGTGCAGGGCCCGGTGGTTTCTTTTCCTACGGATTCTGGGCCGGGGGTGGTTACGGCGGAGGCCGGTGCTCTCGGCTCTGCAGGCCCCTCCACAATTTTGGGTGCGGGGGTTTTGGGGCCTGTCGGATTAGCGGACTCGGCTAAGTGCGAAGTGTATGTGTGCTTCGAGGGCCCGTTAGGTGCGCACTTACATATGGATGTCCGAGAAAAGATTTAGAAAGGGGAGTATGTCGAGATCTTCATGCTCTTGCCTTTGGAGTGTTTGCCTTTCGAGGGGTCACGGGTTGAAGAGGGCAGGTGGGAGGAAGCTGAGAAGCGGCGTTTTTGGTTTATCCCGCGAACCTTCGCTAATTGGTTGCAGGCGTTCGCAATTATGGCCAGTGTCATTGGGGAGAAGGCCCCTGAGCATTGCTCGGCGCTCTTCTGTTACCTTGACTCTTTTAGCGAGGGTCACAGGGTTTAGGGGGGTACCGGCTGGCTTCGGTATGATGAACAGTTTCGGCAGCGTAGGTCTGTTCGCCCGTCTTTGCGTTGGGACCATAAGGACATTGGCCTTTGGATGTGGCTCATGAATCCGGCGCGGGCCCCTGGTCAGTTTTTTCAGGGTGGGGCCGGTGGTTCGTTCTCCCCGGGACAATCGGCCGCAAAGCATAGGGGTTTCTGCTGGCAGTTCCTAGAGGGCGCTTGTCGTTTTGGAGGGTCCTGTCGTTTTAAACACGAATGTTCCAATTGCGGTGGCTCCCATCCCTTGTCGTGCTGTTTCAAACGGGGTAGAGGTCTTTCCGGAGAGCATGAGGGTAAGAGGGACGATGCCGGTGAGGGAGGAAAGAATGTGGCCTTTCCTAAATAGATACCCTGATCGGGTGGCCGCCTCGCTGCTGGTGGCGGGGTTTTCTGAGGGTTTCCGCATCCCGTGTAATTTGGCTTCGATTCCTCCCTTAGCTCGGAACTTACGGTCGGCCTTGCAGCATGCAGAGGTGGTTTCGGCTAAGTTGCGTAAGGAGGTGGGGTTGGGACGCATGGGCATTTCTTGTGCTCCGTTTTCGGATCTGGTTGTTTCTCCCTTGGGAGTTGTGCCCAAGAAGGAGCCCAATGCGTTTCAGTTAATTCATCATCTTTCCTTCCCGAGAGGGGGGTCGGTGAACGATGCTATTGATCCAGAGTCGTGTACTGTGTCTTATACGTCTTTTGATGCAGCGGTTTTCTGGGTCCGTCGGTATGAGCGCTGGGTGCTCATGACCAAATCGGATATTGAGTCGGCGTTTCGGCTGTTGCCGGTACATCCGGATAGCTTTCGTTTCCTGGGTTGTCATTGGCAGGGCTCTTTTTATGTTGATCGGTGCCTTCCCATGGGGTGTCCTATATCCTGCGCTTTGTTCGAGACGTTCAGTTCGTTCGTTGAGTGGGTGGTACAGGATGTCTCAGGGGTAGATTCTGTCATCCATTATTTGGATGATTTTCTTTGTGTGGGTCCGCCCAGCTTCCAATGTGTGTGCGGTTTTGCTGGCCACTTTGCAACACGTTGCGGAACGTTTCGGGATTCCTCTGGTTTTGGAGAAGACGGAGGGCCCGGCTTCGGTGATGACTTTCCTGGGCATTATTTTGGATTCAGGCATGATGGAGTGCCGTCTGCCTGAAGACAAGCTGGTAGCCCTCCAGGTTGAGATTCGTGGGGTCTTGGGCAAGCGTAAGATTCAGCTGCGGGCCTTGCAGTTGTTGTTGGGCAAGCTTAACTTCGCTTGTGTTGTGTTCTGCCGCCGGTTGTCGGCGGCGACGTCTGGGGTTACCTCCCCTTTACATTTTATTTGCTTGACTCGGGAGCATCGGGAGGACTTGCGGATTTGGCACAGTTTTTTGGATTCCTTTAACGGGCGGCCTCTGTGGATGTCTGGCCCAGTGAGCAATTTTGACCTGGAGTTGTTCACAGATGTGGCGGGTTCCACGGGATATGCGACCTTTTTTCCGGGGTTGGTGTAGTGTGGCTCCGTGGCCTGCTCCCTGGCGGGAGGCGGGTTTTCTGCGCAACTTGGTGCTGTTGGAACTTTTTCCGGTGGCGTTGGCGGTTGAAGTTTGGGGGGAGTGTTTTCGGAATTTAAAGGTTCGTTTTCACTGTGATAATTTGGGGGTGGTTCAGGTCATCAATCGGGTCTCTGCTTCTTCGCGGCCAGTGTTTGGCTTGCTTCGTCATTTAGTGTTGCGTTGCCTTCAGCTGAAGTTTTTCTCCATGCTGTGCATCTCCCTGGGGTCGATGATGCTCTGGCTGACGCTTTGTCTCGTTTTCAGTGGGACAAATTCCGAGAGTTGGCGCCGGCGGCGGAGCAACATGGGTTTCCCTGTCCCGACTGGCTGTGGGAGATTGCCTTGGGGTCGTCGCAGGCTGGATCCGGCATTTGGTGAGTGAGACGACGTGGTCTGCATACTCCAAGGTCTGGCGGGAGTGGCTGGAATTGCTGCAATGGGTCGGCATTGATCCATGGGGGCCTGAAGTGGGTCTGGCGGTTTTGTACTTCTTGGTGAGGAACTTTGAGCGGGGGGTGTCGCCGGCTGCGGTGGATCGCCGGTTGGCTGGTTTGGCCTTTTTCTTTAAGTTACAAGGGTATCGGGATTTCACTAAGTTTTTTTGGGTTCGACAGGCCCTTCGGGGTTACCGTAGGGCTCATCGGTGCAGGGATTCACGCCGGCCGGTGTCCTTGTCCTTTGAGTTATTGGGGACTTTGTTCGAGCAACTGCGGTCTTTGTGTTCTTTGGACTATGAGGTGTGCTTGTTTCGGGCGGCCTTTGCGGTGGTCTTTTTTGGGGCGTTGCGGAGCAGTGAGCGTCCGTCCAAATCAGTTCTTGGGGGGGTTATTTGTAGATGAGGTCGCGTGCTCTGGTGAGTGGGTGGAGGTGCTCGTCCGTTGGTCTAAGACGAACCAATTGGGACGCGGTGTGAGCTTGCGGTTCTTTGCTCTTCCAGCTTCACCTGTGTGCCCAGTGCATGCGGTTCGAGATTTTTTATCCCGCCGTCCGGCGGGGAAGGGGTAATTTTTCGTGCATGCTGATGGGCCCCCCTTGTCTCACTTTCAATTTGTGTCAGTTTTTCAACGGTGTTTAACGGCAGCTGGCTTGGATGCATCATTGTATGCTTCGCAGTCGTTTCGTTACGGAGGCTGTCCAGTGGGGTTTGTCGGATGCTGTGGTGAAACGTATTGGTAGGTGGGATTCACAAAGATTTCGCCTGTACATTCGTCCGCATTTGTTGGGGGACTAGGTGGTGGGTCCCGTGTTTTGTTTTTCCCTGGGCTGGGTGGATTTTTATTCTATTCTGTCTCTTTGGTGTATTGTTCTGGTTGTATTGGTTGTCCTTTTTCTTTTCAGGTGGAGCGGTGTGCCTGGTGTGGATCCTGGGTCACTCCTACGTGTTTTGGGGGGCCAGGCGGGCTGATGTGCAGCCTCATGGCAGGCAGCTGGGGTTGGCTAGGCAGGTGGCTTGTGTTCGCTGGATTGGCGTGCCGGGTATGTTGTGGGGGCGCGTGCTCCCTGAGGTGCAGCGTTTTGCTAACCTGGATAGGCCACCAGATGTTCGTTTGCTTCATGCAAGTGGCAACGATTTGGGGGTTAGGTCCATGCGGGAGGTCAAGTTGGACTTTCTTCGGTTGCGAAGGGAATATCCGGATATGGTGGTTGTGTGGTCTAACATGGTCGCCCGCACTTCTTGGTGTTTGGCGAGGTCGGTTGAGTGGCTTAACAAGGCCCGTATAAAAGTCAACGAGGTGTGGTGATTCTTTATCCGCAATGTGGGGCTGGTGGTCCGGCATTTGGAGTTGGAGGTGAATACTTGTCAGTATCTTCGGAGCGATGGGGTACATTTGAATGCTGTGGGGACGGATTTATGGTCCCTGGGTCTACAGGATGGAGTACAGTGGGCCGGTCGGGTGCGGCGCGGCACGCATGGGTAAGGGCTCACCCAGCGTGCTGAGGCGGGTGTTGGTCTTTGGAGGCGGTACTTATTTTGGAAGGTACAAATAATGGTGTGGGACCCATTGGTGGTATGGTGTGCCCGGGGGCATTCCAGTTAACCGAGGTTTAACTGGAAGGTGGTGGTGCTGCACTGCGGATGGTATGGTTGTCTCCGAGCCGGTGTGTTGGGCTGGAGGCCTAGTGTAATTTGGTTTCTGCAGGTGCATTTCGGTTCAGTTTGGGTGCCTTCGAAGACCAACAACTATATGTGTTTCTGTTTTAAGGAATGTTTTTTGTGTATTTAAAGCTGATTTGTTAATAAAAGGCCATGTTGGCCATTTTTACTCCATTTTGGTGTTATGTTTTCTGTAATAGAATTCATAAAGGGGATCGGTATGGAAGGGTAATCGGTGGTATAGTGGGTCTGGATTAGCCTATCTCTTGTGCACTAGTCATGCTGTACTTATATGTGAAAGCAGGCATATTATTCTTACCCAGTTCATCCACTGTGTAGTACACTGTATGTGGGGGGAAGGGGTTGCATGGTAGGCATGTTTGTATTCACATTTTTGCATATATCATATCTAGAGACAGTAAAAGAATGTATAGAGTATATACACATTTTATCAATGCAGAGCATTAGCTTATAGTTGTTAAGTCTTGAAGAAGGAGAGGAGATGGACCAGGAAACATAACGATGAATGATGATGATGGATGAAAACTTAGTGACTGGTCAGAGGCCCCAGAACAAATCTAAAATAAACAGTTAAAGTGTTACTAAACCCACAACAGTAAAATAAGTCTGTATATGCAGTAAAGCATGTGGTTATACTCACTGTCGAACCTAAGGGGTCAATCCCCTGCATTGTGTAAAAAGGCTGCTTGATCCTGACTTCTCTGATATTCACCTTCTTCTAGTACCCTCATCTTATCCCCTGATATGACATATAGTGTGGAGACACTCTGCACATGCTCAGTTTGGTGTGTGTGTTTTTTTCTTGGGAGATGTCTCTTTGTACACATTTTTCTTGGGAGAGTTCATGTGATCAGCACAGGGCCAATCAGCACTGAGGTCAGGGGTTCTGCATCCTCCTAGAGCAGAAATAAAACTCCTACAAGCTTTAACCAGTGCTCTGCTGGACACTGATAGAAGTCACAGGACTGTTCTAACTGCTGTTGAGAAAAGGTATTTAGCAGTTTATATTTCCTAAAATAATTGCATTTCCATGCTGTGTGTACTGTGGGAGACCAGATATAGTGAATGCAGGGTCCTGGGCTTAGTAACACTTTAAGTAAAAGTAACAGCATCCACAGTAAAATACTTGTTTGGTTGTCACTGGCATTCTGGGGGTCTGATCAAGAACAAGGATGCAGCTGGTATATTCAAAGCGGAGTCAGTGAGTTGACTTAGAAACGACTGAAATCAGAGGATCAGTGTGACCGCCATTCGCCTAGCATTATCAGAAGGAGATGTCAGCAATGCATCCCTCATATTTCTTTCATGATAGGTTCCTAAAATAGTTCAGTGCTTATGTTTCCTGTTTTTTTTCAGTCCTGACAATGAACCTCTGTAATCAAACTGTGCTGCCACCTAGTGACAAAAGAGAGAAGGACTGGGTGTTTTTTGTAGTAGTAAAACCATACTCTGTGTCACTGTGATATTCTAGTACAGTAATACACAGAACTATCATCTGTGACCATATTGTTCATCTGCAGAGATACCATGTTATTACTGTCATCCCTGGATATTGTAAATCTTCCTTTTATCGCATCTGCGTAGTGTGTGGTTGTACCGTGTATGCGACACAACCATTGTAATCTTTTGCCAGGGGCCTGTCTGACCCAATTCATCCAGTAGCTGCTGACAGAGAATCCAGAACCTTTACATGTCAGAGTATAGGAACTTCCAGGCTTCACTATGGCAGGATCTGACTGCAACAGTTGTTGAGCCAAACAGACACCTAAAAAAAAACAACACATCATCAATATATCACCCACACATATCTCAGAAAAGAAATATACTTGTAGTAACCTCAATAAAATGTCATCAGAGCCCTGTGGGTAAATGTTCAGAAACTTCCTACCCGTTAGGCATGTCAGTAATAATAAATGTCCAATAAAAATTCTCATTTCAGGAATAACTCTGTACATTTTAGAGTTGGTTTCTAGATCTGGGTCCACTCTACCTTTATTCTGCTCAGTGTTGGAAATTACATCACTTTATTTGCATATAACAGCAGATATCTACACCGTTGCCTGCTAATGCTGCATGTATGTTCAAATCAGTTCTGACTATAGATCACACTACAGTGCAGTCCGCCTATTGAAGTATGCAGTCAGTATACATGTACTAGTATGGATGAAATCCTCTAATATGATTAGTATTACTGGGCTCTCAAATTCCTCTTCACAAACCTAAAAAAAATGATAAATCCTTTGTGACTTAAAGTATGTACAAATAACAAAATATAATATATTCCAGCTGATCAGTTCTTAGTTGGTGGCTTCATTAGTTTTTAAGTACAAATTCAATTTTGTTTATTGTTTATTCTAGTCCCTTTAATAAATCTAGAGCTGGGCTACCCACAATTCTGCACTAACATCCCATAGACTTGAATTGGACATACCAGTACTGCAGGAGTAAGGTCCCATTCAAATCAATGGATGTTAGTTCTCAGGCAGGGGATTGTTACTGGCTGTGCTGCAGAGAACATGGGAGGTCACAAACAGTGAAGGTGTGTATGTACCTGCAGGATGAGAGAGCTCTACGCATTTGAAAGTCAGAGAGTGAGGCTTATGTCTTTTTTCATGTTATTTTCATGTAGCAATCCTTCCAGTAACTAACTCACCGTACTGTATCTATGGAGGAGCAGTGCTGTCCGCCTGGGCTGCTCTTCTGATTTGGACTACAAACAACTCTCTCTTTCCTCATTAACATACTATAGCACAACATGTCATGTTTCCCCATTCCCAGGTTTTTTAAGCAAACTAACATGACATATTAAAAGACAATCAAGTCAATCTTTATTCTATTACATAATACCAAAAAAGTTGTTCTAAAACCATGACACGGCTGATTTTTTATGCAATGTATTATATACACATGAGTACCCAATATTCCTGTATACCAATAGTCTTTCTTCATAATGGCTTGTCTGTATTGCTGTTAACACAGGATCACTGACGCATTTCAGAGAAATCACTCTTTCCTCAGGGGTGCATAAAAGGAGGGATACCATATATTAGAAAATGCATAAAAACAGAAGTCTTAACCCATAACTTAAAACTAAATTAACTCTTAACCCTTAACTCCCACTCTAACCCTAATACTTGATTGCCACTCTTCACCTAATCCTAAGGCCCCCTTCACACTTGTGTGTACCAATGAGTTAATGTACTATAAATCACAGATTAATATGCATTGCATTAATTTGAACACCAAAACAGACCTAAACACTGCACCACCGCAACACAAAATAGTGCTTTACCATGCCATGTGGTATTCTGAAACGCTCCATGTGCATTGGAGATACATTGCTTTAGTGTGTTGGGGTGTCATTCAAAATTGGTTGCACTGCAGTAGCACTGTTATAACACTTGTACCACATGTATCCTAACTTTAACTCTAATGTATCCTTTCCCTAACCTAAGGCTGGCCATAGACGGGTCATTTATTGGCCGAATTTTCGTCCGATAAATGAAAAATCTGTCGTTGCTGGCAGTTATGCTGCCACCAATTTTCCAGCATGACCGATAATACTAAACGAGAAAATCTGTGAAAAACGGCCGATGGGCTGGCCCCACTAACGGCCTGAACATCGGACAATTTTTCGTGCGGACGAAAATTCGCCCGATAAACGACCCGTCTATAGCCTGCATTAATTTTTTGATTTACAGGTACCTTTATCCTTGACATGACAGCAGGGCTCTGAATTGCTTAGCATGTGTTGTCAGTAACACTTCACTTCTAATGGATTAGAAGGAACACAGACCTCATCTCAACTCCCCTTCCTTGTGTACAGGCAGAGAGTACAGCCCACAAGATATCTGGCAAAATCAACAGGTATGTTTTGCACTTATTGAACAGATATTACAAAAAATGGTATATTTAGCAAACCAAAAGGGAGCAAATAAGAGAAGTCCAATGTGAGGATATACATGCTCTTAAAACACTCAAACATCAATTAATTATACACTGCTCAAAAAAATGTAAGGAACACTTTGAAAACACATCAGATCTCAATGGGGCAAAATCTCATGCTGGATATCTATACTGATATGGACTGGGTAATTTATTAGGATTGTAAGGATGTCCCATCGTTTGATGGAAATGAAAACGATCAACCTACAGAGGACTGAATTCAAAGACACCCCAAAAATCAAAGTGAAAAAATTATGCATCAGGCTAGTCCATTTTGTTGAAATTTCATTGCAGCAATTCCAAGTGGTACTCAGTAGTTTGTATGGCCTCTACGTGCTTGTATGCATACTTGACAATTTCGGGGCATGCTCCTAATGAGACGATGGATGGTGTCCTGGTGTATTTCCTCCCAGATCTGGACCAGGGCATCACTGAGCTCCTGGACAGTCTGAGGTGTAACCTGGCGGCATCAGATGAACCAAAACATGATATCCCAGAGGTGTTCTATTGGATTTAGTTCAGGTGAGCATGGGGGCCATTCAATGGTATCAATTCCTTCATCCTCCAGGAATCCAGGAACTGCCTGCGTACTCATCGTCACATGAGGCAGGGCATTGTCGTGCACCAGGAGGAACCCAGGACCCACTGCACCAGGGTTGGATCTGACAATGGGTTCAAGGATTTCATAGTAATACCTAATGGCAGTCAGGGTGCCATTGTCTAGCCTGTAGAGGTCTGTGCATCCCTCCATGGATATGCCTCCCCAGACCACCACTGACCCACCACCAAAACAGTCATGCTGAATGATGTTACAGGCAACATAACATTCTTCATGGCTTCTCCAGACCCTTTCACATCTGTCACTCAGGGTGAACCTGCTCTCATCTGCGAAAAGCACAGGGCGCCAGTGGCGGACCTACCAATTCTGGTGGTCAATGGCAAATGCCAATCAAACTCTATTGTGCCGGACAGTGAGCACAGGGCCCACTAGAGGACGTCGGTCCCTCAGGCCACCCTAATGAAGTCTGTTTCTGATTGATTGGTCAGAGACATTCACATCAGTGGCCTGCTGAAGGTCATTTTGTAGGGCTCTGGCAGTGCTCATCCTGTTCCTCCTTGCACAAAAGAGCAGATACTGGTCCTGCTGATGGGTTAAGGACCTTCTATGGCCCTGTCCAACTCTCCTAGAGTAACTGCCTGTCTCCTGGAATCTCCTCTATGCTCTTGAGACCGTGCTAGGAGACACAGCAAACCTTTTGGCAATGGCACGTATTGATGTGCCATCCTGGAGGAGTTGGACTGCCTGTGCAACCTCTGTAGGGTCCAGGTATCGCCTCATGCTACCAGTAGAGACACCGACCCTAGCGAAATGCAAAAGTAGTGCAAAACAGTCAGAAAAGGTGAGCAGGGAAATAATGTCAGTGGTCACCACCTGAAAAACCATTCCTGTTTTGGGGGTTGTCTCATTGTTGCCCATCTAGTGCACCTGTTGTTACTTTCATTAACACCAAAGCAGCTGAAGCTGATTAACAACCCCCTAGGCTACTTAACTTAACCTCAAATATGCGGCCGCTCGGCGTTAAGGCCCAGATGCCGAGAGGCCGCATATTTGCGTGCGCTCTGCGTCAAGGGGTTAATGGAAACATACATTGTATGATACAAGGCATAATTGAAGAAATATGCTCCATTAGCTTCAGTGTAAGGGAAATAAGACATCAGGGGTTGTATAGATCCCTGATGTCTCATTAAAGAGAACCTGTCACAGTCACAAAGTGAAAACAATAATTCAAAGGACATTATTCAATGTTAACTCTAATGACCTGTAGAGGCTTTTAAAGCATTTCCTATGGCAAATGTTAGGTACAGAATTTCGTAGCTGATTCATGGGTATGCATAGTTTAAGGCTTGGCATGTTTGGTATGTATTTACTTTGTCCATCCTCATCTTTTACATTTTACTCAAAAAGCTGGGCAAATATATTGGGGGGGATTTACTAAAACAGGTGCACTCAGAATCTGATGCAACTGCGCATGGTAGCCAATTAGCTTCTAAGTTCAGCTTGTTCAGTTAAGCTTTGACAATAAAACCTGGAAGCTGATTGGTTACTATACAGAGCTGTATCATATTTTGCACCATACAGTTTAAGTAAATAGCCACCAATTGCATGTGTGTGCCCTAAAATTAACCTAGGTGTGTTTGTTACTAAATATTTGTGCTTGACAAACTGTTGTGGTGATATCATGTAACATAAAAATTTGTAACTACCACCATTTTATTCTCCAGGGTTTCTGCTTTCAGAAAATATATCTATGATTAAGCAAACTGTAATATATCACCCTCCTACATAGCAGCTGCTTAGAAAGATCAGTGCAGACATTCAAATAATACCAAACATTAAAAAAGAAAATGATCCTACCAGGCTTATGTCTTAGAATATGTGAATGAGGGGAGGAGAGGGGGGGAGATACATTAATACAGCAACTGCATTTTTTTAGTGGCCACTCTTTTTCCCATATTTCTTTACTTACTATGTCTGTCCCTCCTCTCTGAGAGCTCTCAGTCCAGTTATTAATATCTATAGAGTGGGATTATTAATGAAGCATATTATGTGGATGACATTTGATTCATTGGATCCAGGGTTACTACTTCTGACCCAGAACATTCTTTTAATATTGGATTTATGTAACTGTGTTGTGTGTTACTTTAATTAATAAAAGTTCATTATTTGCAAAGCAACTTTGTCATTTTTCTCATATTTTATTTTCAAAGCTTATGTATATTGTGCATTCTTTTCTTTTAACATAGCATCAAGAAATGATAAAATGTACTGTACTTAACCACTTGCTTTCCTGAGGATTTACCCCTCTTGCTGACCAGGCCATTTTTTGTGTTACGGCGCTGCGTTACTTTAACTGACAATTGTGCAGGTCATGCACCCAAATTAAATTTACATCTTTTTTTTCCCACAAATTTAAGGTAAGTATTACATGTTTATTATTTTTAAACCAAAAAAAATCTGTCTTTAATATCACTTCACTCCTTTGTTTTAAACAAACTGTGCTGCCACCTAGTGACAAAAGAGAGAAGGACTGGGTGGTTTTTGTAGTAGTAAAACCATACTCTGTGTCAAAGTGTATTCTCTAACACAGTAATACAGAGAACTATAATCTGTGACCATATTTTTCATCTGTAGTGATACCTTGTTATTACTGTCATCCCTGGATATTGTGAATCTTCCTTTAATCGCATCTGCATAGTGTGTGGTTGTACTGTATATGCGGCACAACCATTGTAATCTTTTGCCAGGGGCCTGTCTGACCCAATTCATCCAGTAGCTGCTGACAGAGAATCCAGAACCTTTACATGTCAGAGTATAGGAACTTCCAGGCTTCACTATGGCAGGATCTGACTGCAACAGTTGTTGCGCCAAACAGACACCTTAAAAATAACAATAATTAATATATCATCCATACATATCTTAGAAAATAAAATATACTTTCATTAAAATGTAGCCCTGTGGGTTAATGGTCAGAAACATCCTACCTGTTAGGCAGGTCAGTATTAATAAATGTCCAGTAAAAATCTTCATTTCAGGTTAACTGTAAATTCTAGAGTTGATTTCTAGAACTGAGTCCACTGTACCTTTTATTCTGTCCAGTGTTGTAATATTTGAAAATGATATCCCTTTATTTGCATATAACAGCAGATATCTACTCCATTGACTGCAAATATGTATATTCAAATCAGTTCTGACTATAGAACACACTACAGTATAGTTAGTCTATTAAAAAATGCAGTCAATATACACTCACTGGCCACTTTATTAGGTACATCTTGTTAGTGCCAAGAAAATATCCCCCACACCATTACACCACCACCACCAGCCTGAACCATTGATACAAGACAGGATGGATCCATGCTTTCATGTTGTTTACACCAAATTCTGACCCTACCATCTGAATGTTGCAGCAACCAGTCTGCCCATTCTCTGACATCAACAAGGCATTTTCATCCACACATCTGCCACTCAGGGGATATTTTCTCTTTTTTGGACCATTCTCTGTAAACTCTAGAGATGGTTGTGCGTGAAAATCCCAGTAGATCAGCAGTTTTTGAAATACGCAGACCAGCCCATCTGGCACCAACAACCATGCTACGTTCAAAGTAACGTAAATCACCTTTCTTTCCTGTTCTGATGCTCAGTTTGAACTCAGCAAGTTGTCTTCACCATATCTAGATGCCTAAATGCATTGAGTTGCTGCCATGTGATTGGCTGATTAGCAATTTGTGTTACCAAACAATTGAACAGGTGTACCTAATAAAGTGGCTGTTGAGTGTACATGCACTGGTATGGATGAAATCCTCTAATATGACTAGTAGTGATGTGCTCCTAAATTCCTGTTTCTTCACACAGAATGTTTCATAGATCCTTTGTCCCTTAAAATGATTCTAAAGGCAAAACATTTTTTACCTTAATGCATTCCTTAGGTTAGGGTGAAAAATGTTCCAGTAGTAATATAGCCCCTCACCTCCTTCTATACTTACCTTACTCTCCATTCGTTCCAGCAGTGAGCCCATCTTCAGCGGCTCTCTCCTCTTTCCCATCTCTTACAGGACAGAGAGGCATCAGCCAGAGCCATTGGCTTCTGATACTGTCAATCAAATCATGTGAGCAGAGAGCTGGGGGTGGGCTGAGCTGTGCTGTGTGTCTATGGATGTACAAAGCCCAGTTCAGGAGCACGCCCGCACTTGTGCCACCATAGGAAGCACCATGGCACATGGAGAAGAGGTGAAGCCGAGAGTACAGGTGGCAGATTTCAGAAGAGGAAGTAAGGGCCACTCTGTGAAATGTCCTTGAACGGAACAGGTAAGTATATTATCTTTTTTTTTTAGTTAAAAAAAAAGACTATACAACCACTTTAAAGTATGTCTAAACCCAAAAACAAATAAAATGTACGTATACACATATATGTTATTGCTGCTTACCAGGCCTTAGTACAGTTTTTGTTTCATTCCCCCAGCCCCCCTCCCTAGTCCCTCAATAAATCTGCTGGGCTGGCCACATGATGCACTAAAGCTGGCACACAGGGTTTTCTTTTCATTCAGCCTACTATACAGTTCAGATTAACAAATTTCCCACTGCTGCTATTGGATTTTAACAGATGGCCCAGCCTTTTGGCCAACGATTTTCCTCCTGACTCTTTTTATTATTCAATCAAGGGATGTCAGATGGGATGCAGCCTACAGGGACACCCACTGAATGGATTTTGTCTAGTTTTTCAGAATCTGGCCAACATGTTATAGACATACATAGACATACCCATTCATGTCTATGGGGCAACTTTACACATCATCTAGGCGTCCCTGGTAGAGAAATACACCCAGACTGTACATTGTATGCCCCAGGTGCATTGCGGATATTCTTTGTTCCCTGAGATTTAAATACAGCCCTATAGAAGCTTTTATCCATATGTAGCAACTCAGATGTGGACCAAAACTGATAAATGGTAATATCATCATCAATACAACTACTTGTACTACTCCTACTACTAGTACTAATGCTACCAATACTACTAAGAACATTCTTCATTCATTTCAAAGGGAATTCTTCTCCACATCACTGTATCCTATATAAACATTGTAGTTTTTGTTATACAGTTATACTCCGGACATTTTTACTACTATTGTGGTCTTTGGCACAATAATATACAGATATTTCTTCAGTGACCCTATTATTGTTATTAATGGATATTTTAAATCTACCTTTTCTTTCATCTGCATAATATGTGGTACACTATACAGTATATGTGACACAGATATTGTAAGATTCTATTAGTTGCCTGTCTGAACCATCTCTTCCCAAAGCTACTGACTGTCAGTCCATTGGCTTTATAGTATTGTAGGTCAGTGTGTGGGAGTTTTCTAGTTTCAACACCACTTATCTGATTGTTTAAGTTCTTGTGCTTGCTGAACCCCTTTAAAAAGGAATTGTGTGTTCATATACATCAGAATACCAAATGTTGTTACATTTTCTTTTGACTGTTATGTGTTATATTGTCTTGCCTGCTAAGCAAGTTTGTGCTATATAAATGCCCATTAAAGCATTGTTTTAATTTATTAGAAGGGTGAATTCACACATGTGAATGCACCCTGCCTGCGATTATATGTAGGAAACCCAGTGGGAGTTCCTGCGATTAGCTGTTAGCGGCATTGGGAGGCTACTGGCTCTCGCAGCTAATTGTGCCCACTCGCATGTAATTCCTCGTCACATGGCCAATAAGTCGCAGCATGAGCGATTACATGCAAGTGGGTACAGTTAGCTGTGAGAGCTGACAGCTTTCCATGGCTAATCACAGGAACCCCCACTGAGATTCTTCCATATAATCACAGTCAGCAAGCATTCACAAGTGTGAATGCACCTTAAAGCAGCAATCTCCAAATTACAGTCTGCCATATTCAGCATGCTACAAGATTTGATCTGTCCTGCAATAACTGTACATGAACATACCCCAGCTGAGTGACAGTGGATGCGATGGTCTGCAGCCAGCAAACCTGAGTGGTTAACCCACGTCAGTTCATTATCTATGGTCAACTGAGTGATAACACAGGCAGCGATCGTATGTATTTTGCATATTACGGTCTGTGTGTCTATATATTATATATATATATATATATATATATATATATATATATATATTATAAACAGCATATTTTAGTTTATTTTGCCCACATTTGAAATCAGATTAGACCTTTCTTAGATAGGTCCTATCTAATCCCTGGAATGTACACTTGTGATGTAGTCTTAAAGGTAAAATCCCAAATGAGAAAACATGTA